CAAAAATCCTCAACAAGATACTTGCAAATCAAATCCAACAGCACATAAAAAGAATTATCCACCTTGATCAAGTGGGATTCATTCCTGGGTTACAGGGATGGTTCAACATTCGCAAATCAATGTGATCCATCACATCAACAAAAGAAAAGATAAAAAGCATATGATCCTGTCGATAGATGCAGAAAAAGCATTTGACAAAATACAGCATCCCTTCTTAATAAAGACTCTAGAGAAAGTCGGGATAGAAGGAACCTACTTAAACATCATCAAAGCCACCTATGAGAAGCCTTCAGCTAACATCATCCTCAACGGGGAAAAACTGAGAGCTTTCCCCCTGAGATCAGGAATGCAACAGGGATGTCCACTCTCACCACTGCTGTTTAACATAGTGCCAATGAAAATTGCACCAGCATACTTCTCAAAGCCAGAGCAAACTATCCAAAAATTTGTATGGAACCACAAAAGACCCCGAATAGCCAAAGTAATACTGAAAAATAAAACCAAAACGGGAGGTATCACCATCCTAGTCACTCAATGAATGTAGCCACCCAGGAACCTCTAATATTTTCTATCTTAATTAAACAATTCAGTTAATGAATCAAAGGAAAGAACAGTCCTACTAATGACAGGAGATTGAGTAGTCTGGAAAATAATTTGTAAGAAATATTTGAGGAAAAAACATGTAATTGGTTAGATGGGGCTTCTGGAAAGGCTTGTAACATGTCCAGACTAGGCAAGTATAACCTCTTCAGTCCTTTGCCCCTTCCTCCCCTAGTGATCTAAAACTCATGTGTAATGCTGGATGTTTAACAGCAATTTTGCAACCATTAAGGGACAAGTATGAAGATAAAAATAATAGAAGACTGAAAAACTCTAGGTCTTAGCACTGCTGAGATGCAGTACAATCATGTTTTACCCACTCCCAGATTTATTTTGCATTAAGACAAAGATAATCCTGTGAATTCAAGCCATTGTTGGTCAAATTTTCTACTACTTACAGACATTTATCCGACTGTTATGGCAGAATTATAAATAGTGGAATAGATTAATTTTTCAGTGAATGATTTTGGTACACTTGGCCGTTCATTAGAAAGAAAATTAGATAGGTATTTCACCTTACACCAGAATTAATCCCTAATGAATCAAAACACTTAAAAACAGTAAAAAAAAAGAAAAAAAGGGGAAAAAAAAGAAAAGAAAAAGAAACAGCAGAAAACATGAGAGAATATTCTCAAGGTGGGGAAGTCTGTTACTATACAATACAAAAACTAGAAGTCATAAAAGATCAATAGATTCAACCATGTAACAGTAATTTTTGTATTAAAGAAAAAACAACATTAAAAGCAAAGCCAAAAGCATAATAGTGTTTGCCTTTCACTTAGAATGTGGAAATCTACCAACAATGAAAATAAACTGAATACACACACACACACACACACACACACACACACACACACACAACCTGATACGTTTTCTGGAGCCCATCTTGAGCTGAAGTAACTATCATTCTAAAGAACATGCGCCTCCAAGAAGAGATCAAACAAACACGCTCTATTATCTATTGGAGAGCCTAAGAAGAAAAGGTGGTCTCCACAAAAAATGAGTAAGAGGAAATTAGCCTAAAATTTTAATGAACTATCAAAGATTAAGAGTGAGTTACTCACCATGGTAGAACAAGGAGTTTGCACTCACTCATCACTCAAAAGCTCTTCCACAGGTCTCAACTGGGTACTTAAAAAAAAAATTCTGATGGCACAAAAACATACACACAGATCAATGGAACAGAATAGAGAACTCGAATTGGATGCACAAATATATGGCCAATTACTCTTTGACAAAGCGGTAAAGAGTATCCAATAGAAAAAAGAGCCTCTTCAACAGTTGGTGCTGGGAGAACCAGACAGCAACATGCAGAAGAATGAAACTAGATCACTGTCTCACATCATACACAAAAGTAAACTCAAAATGGATGAAGGGCCTGAATGTGAGACAGGAAACCATCAAAACCCTAGAGGATAGAGAGGAAACAACCTCCTTGACCTCAACCACAGCAATTTCTTACTGGATACATCTCCAAAGGCAAGGGAATCAAGAGCAAAAATGAACTATTGGTGTCTCATCAAGATAAAAAGGTTTTGCGCGGCAAGGGAAACAATCCATAAAACTAATAGGCTACCGACAGAATGGGAAATGATAGTTGCAACTGACACAGTGGATAAAGGGCTAGTATCCAAAATCTATAAGGAACTCACCAAACTCCACACCCAAAAAACAAATAATCCAGTGAAGAAATGGGCAGAAGACATGAATAGACACTTCTCTAAAGAGGGCATCCAGATGGCCA